TAGTGTCGTATCTTGAAGTGCCAATATTGTGGCGTCCAATGAGAGATGTAAAATAACTGGCAAGTGAGCAACTACTCAAAAATTACTGTACGCCAGGAGCCAAGGTTGTAATGGAACTAACATGGAAACGTTGCATTAAAACTACATGGACTGTAGAAATTCAAATTCTACACACTTAAACTTAAAACCACCTTCAGTACAAGTCAAAGAGGGTCAACATGATACAAATGACCATCCATAGAATCAATGTTTCTAAATACAAAAACAAGAAGCTTAGACTTATCTCACTGTTCCATAGAACTTATACATTCATTGTCTTCTAGTTTGTAAAAACCAATTGTTGGTATAATGAAACTGGGAAGAGTGAGCAGGAATGCTGTCAAGAATCCAACCCCAAGTTGTCTGCCTGGGGTAAATTTGGTTTTTCTCTAGTGCTTGATAAGTCAGGCTGATCTTTAAGGTAGTAGTTAGAAATTTTTTCAAGGCAGTTATTCTCAAAGCATGGTGCCCAGAATGGCAGCATTGGCCTCACCTGGGAACTTGTTAGAAATGCAAATTTCTAGATCTACTGAATTAGAAACTCTAGGAATGAGCCCAGCAACCTGTGTTTTCACAAGCCCTCCTAGTGATTCTGAAGTTTGAGAAGCACTGTTCTAAAGACAAAAGCTACTAGACAACCACTGGTTAAACCTTCAGGATAGGATCCAATGGTACAAATAGTTAATGTTGGTTGAAAAGGATGGGATGGTCACAATTGGATGGATTTACCAGCAGTTGGCTGCAGTTTTGTCACTAAGATAGTCAACCAGTCTCTCCTCCCTGTAGCCCCTTTGCAGTATTGCACAAAGATATAGGGAAAGGGTTTGATATGGTGCTAGTGGTATGGTAGTTGGTTTTCTTAAATTACTAATAGTAATTGGTGCCACCATTTATAAGGAAGTCCATCTCAGGGTATGGTTTATTTTTTTTTTTTTATCTGTCTTCCCTGAAGTAATAATTGTGTTTTGGAAATATAAATGGTGTTCTGTCCTGAAATTTTAAATTATTTGTTACTTCTACATCAGATACAAACACTATAATACAGCCAGAGGAAGGGTATCTCACAAACAAACAAACAAAGGTATGTTTTCTAGATTGCTTCACTAGTGAGGAAAATTACTCTTTTTTGGGACGAGGCATAATTATAAATCAAGTTCTTGACCAATTTTATAAATCTTTCCCAATAGCAAGCTCATATTTCCAACAGAAAGTGCTCTTTTACTTTTCTAAGGCCACACTAAATCTCACTGGGATCACCTAAATGGTACCCAAGCATATTTAAGTTTTGTCATCAGCTTACGGTAGGACTCTGGATTTTCCTTCTGCCTGTTTCCTTTTCTGGAAAACAAGTAGAAATATTTAGGTGTTGTGGCACATGGTTGTCATGGACATTGACTTCATGCCCCCAGCACCTGGCTCTTTAAACAATCTCCAACCAGTTGCTTCCTCTTCAGTGAATGTATATTCTGAAAAAACAATTATCATGTATTCTGCATATTTCTAAACTTTGATGATGACTTACAAATTCGGTACCATGTATTTCCCAGAGATGCAAGTAAAGAGGCACCGTTGGCTACAGGGCACTTTATTCTCCGCTGATTAAATAGTACTTGAAAAAGATTTACAAATCATGCATGCCGTTCCAGACACAGACTGCCATGTTCCTCTGCATTCACAGCTGGCCATGAACAGCAGTATTCCATCATTTCCACCTAACTTGGTGAGTTTTCTAAAGGAACACGGAAAGTTTAGATTTTGGTTTCCTTTATTTTCAGACACTCAATGTTACATATGATCTTTCTATGTATAGACACTATTTTTTAAAAAAATTTTAAACCTTATTTTCAAAAACTCTCATAACATCCCAGACAGATCTGGGATATCAACTAAATACTCTCACTTTAATTGCCTAATTCTTTGAAACTCTCTCTCATGCTATAGTGCTCACTCCATGCACTGAGAGAGCATAGTATCTGGGAGAGAGAGTATGGCCTTTGAATTCAGGAATGCTTCTGTTGCAACCAACTTTGCCTTTTACTTGTTATCTTGGGCAAGTTCCTTAAACCTCTCTGGGAATGTTCTCATCTGAGAAAATGGGGAACATACTGTCTGTCTCACAAGGTTATTGTGAGAAGGAAGTATGATAATCTAGGTAAAGGTCTGCATTCACAGCAACACTCACCACCCCTCCTCCCTGCTGTTTGTAAACGTTTGCTGTTGTAACCAGTGCTAAACAAAGGTCTTCATTCTGTTGAGTTCGATGGACTGACACAAATGGATTTTCCTTTCTGAGAAGGGAAACTTTCCTATATCAGCAATATTGTGAAGTATTTGGCAAGGGTATCTATTACACAACTGCATTACCTTCTTATAGTTAAGGCATTTGAGTCTCTCAATTGATTCTGTGTAAGCCTTCTCCTTAAAACGAGAAGAAGAACAAAAAGCCTTGTGATCACTGTACCAAGAAGTTTCCATTTCGAGGTGCTTTTAAATTATATCAACATTTTTGTCATGTTTGATTTAAAATACTTTAATCTGAACTGCTATGTGTGTTAGCATCTGCCTAGGTCCTTATTGATCAGTCATTACAAAGCCCCCAAATGGTAAAGGTGTTCTGGTTTTAGGTCTATGGTGAAGGCTGGAAAATAATCACAAGAGGAGAGAGTTACAGTAAGATGGTGTAAAGAGGCAGTCTTAAACATCTTTAAAAGCAGATCAGGAGGTGCAAGAGCTAGGCAAGATCCTATGAACAATGCACTAACCCTCCAGCCTCAAAACCTATGTCCTCCTCAATGGCAGAGAGAACTCTGGCAAAGAGTGCACGCACTTGGCTGGGTTGTTCAGTTAGGAGTTCCCTTACACTTGGAGTTTTCCAGAAGCTTGTCTCTTCAGGCACGCTTTACCAAAATATAAGAATAAAAAAAATCTCAACTTTAGTGTAATACACTTTTGGCAGTAAATACAGGCAACTAAAGGCAATGTGTAAAACTTGTTCTGCTTAGATCTGTAAATACTTGCTAATAACTGTTCTTAACTTCAAAAGGCTGCCTTGCCCTTGGTCTTACTGTTGCCACAATAGGGACTGTGAGTAGAAAAACACCTGACATTTTCAGAGACTGAGGGAGGCAGTAAAGAAAGAGAGGGAGGAAAGAAACCAGGAACAGTGAGAGAAACTAGTCTGGGAAGGGGCCACTCAGCGCCCCCACCCTCGCCAGTGTCCTTAATCACCTCCCTTCTTCTCCACACTGGAAAGAGTCAACTGAAGGTCCTGCTCTTTAGAGACTACTTTGCATCAAGCAATATCCTTTTTGGAAACTGCAAATACCTCTGGGAAATACTACTGTGACTTAGCTACTTTTCTAGTTGAAATCTGACGTGGTTATGGAAGCCAGGTAACCCCAGAGCAGTGTGTTAGAAACAGAGGTGGGCATAAAAGCAACGTGGGCCTCGGACTGGGTTATGTTATAGAAGAGAGGATCGGAAGGTACCAAAAACCTCTTACAAGATTATAGGTAAAGAGCTGTGTCTACTTTCTCATCATTTTATTCTTGGGACCCATAATCAGGCTAGTGCTAGAACAGGGTTTGGACACAGTATGGGATAAGCTTATTTTCATGAACCAACCTTGGACCCTATAATAAAGAAGCTGTGGGAGAATGTATTCTGATTTCTAAACAATTAACTAACATAATTCTGGGATGTGACATTCATAAATTGAGACAGCTTCCTTTGAATTTTTATACTTTATGAAAAGTTTCTATGTATACATACTCTAATTTTATACAAAGGCTTTTTCCCCCCAGTAAATTATGGAGTACTCACAGGCTCACAAAGGAGAACCGAGCCTCAGATACACTATAAAAAGAAATAAATAACCATGGCGCACTGCTTTTGTTGGAAAAAAGTTATCTACCTGACTTTTGATTCCATTTACAAAGTATAAAAATTCAGAAGTATAGAACAGAGCTCATTGCTATCTCTACAATTCATTGCCTGTTAAGATCAAATAGTTGATGATCTGTGTCTAAACTTGAATTATTGTCTAGTGAGTAAAAACTGAAGGAAAGAGAGTGTTTTGTAAAACTGGAAAAATGTCTTCCAGAGTCTGTTGTGATCTCTAGACAACACACTGATGGATAGGGTCTTTTAGATCACCTAAGGAAGTCAGAGAATCTTCCCTTCCCCTTAAACTTGTAGACAGACAGCTCCATGTTTCTCAAGGAGGGCAAAGTTTACAATTACCACCATTGTTCAATCCCTTTTAAATCCTTACTTCAATACTGTACAATCGATGTTTTATTTTTAAAGGATGTATTCAATTATGAATACATTTTTAATGGCTGGGAAATTATATGCCTTAGCAACTAACTCTACTCTCTAGAATATATATAAGTGGACTTGAGTGAGGAGTTTCAATTATTATTGTAATGTAAGAAATATAAAAATATTGTAAGTAATAACATAAAGCTTTCAAATTCATTTTCTAGTAATACTTAGGCAAAGAAATATACACTTAAAATATTGGTCTGATTAGAAAGACTTCAAACATAGGGTAAACTTACTTGTTAGGAGAAATATTTTAAGCAGAAAAAATTAATTTTCTAACTTTAGTGTCCCCTTCTTTTATTTTCTGAGACTAGTAGTATGTGAATAACTGACACAATTTCATATGACTGCTCTATTATATTTTAAGGTTTAAAATGATTTCATCATCATCCCTCCCTACCCCAAACTCCTTGCTCCCTTCCCTGAGAAGTCTGCTTTCTGGTTGCACGGAGGACTCTGAGTTCCTTTTCTCCAAGGGTGTTGATATAAAATGAGCTGCATTTTAATGATTTGTTTTCTTAAAAACCAAATGTTGTACCTTATGTTCAGATAGTTGGGCATAGAAATGTCTGTGCAATAAAGGATTAAGGCACCATTTTTTCTTTCCTTTCCTTGTCTGCCTTGGGGGCAGAAGCCAAGAACAACAGGATGGCCAGAGTAGCCTGTCAGTCTTCAACATATGTATCAGCTACTATCATGGCACTGTGTCAAAGGCTGCCAAGCCATAGACTTAACACCCTGGTAGGAAAGAATTTTCTTCCTTCAGAAATGGGGAAATAAAGGCACAATAGTACCTTACATGGGGAAGTGGGTGCATACCTGAAAATCTTAACAATTTAGGAATAATTTTGAAATGTTCTGGATTATTTTATAACAGAAGTCATTTCTTTCTTGATTATGACACCCAAGAATATATGTTTGTTGTTTTCTTCCCAGCCAAACCCATAATCATAATATAAATCTTCCTCCAAGTAATATCTAGTACTAGATGTCTGAGTGTTTACATATCAGCTTGACTTACCAGCAGATGTTGCCTTAGGAATTGCATTTATTTGTAAATTGATGGATCAAATGGATCAACATAGTGTTTTTAAAGTGGTGGTCCTTGAAAATGACCCATTTTGGGACAACACTGTAAGCAAAAGCACTGGGAAATAAACTTCAAGATTTGGGAAGGTATCAAGGAATGTAGACTCTTCTATAATGATGTGCAAAATAAAAGTATCATTTGTGTCATCAAGATACAACATTAGTACCCAGAATGGCCCAAATGCTGATTATTTAGGGAGTGGCTGAAAGGCTTTTTGACTTTAGGAAACATTGTTCTTTGAGACTCCAGTTTAAGTGGTGGTGGGGAAATGCTATCAGCTGGATTGGCAGGCTGACTGTAACCCTCACTAATGTATTTTCTTAGGAGCGGAACATGAGTTAGCTACACAATGATGTCATAGATGCGGCCCACTCTGCCGAGCCACTCTCTCACAGCCTGGCGAACTCTGATGTCCGTCACATGACAGGTCAGCTGGCTGATGCAAGGGAACACTGCTGGCTGGAGGGCAGTGAAGGTCTGGTCTGGAAGGATCTGAATCTGATTGAGCACTGTTAGCACCATGTTGGTCCATGCCTAAGAGAAAGGATTTAAGAGAATCAGTGGCTTTCCCCCATAGTTTCATTTGAACACTTGAGTGTGACCCTCCCAATCTCTAAATGGGCTCTAGCTGCAAGAAATTAGTTTTTACTAATTTAACGTTCCTATAATCTGTAGTTTTTACTTCACATATATAAGAGTAAGCAGAGACTCATATCACATTAGAAATGCCTTATTTTCAGCTCTCACAAACTACTAAAATCTTACATATTACTTGGATTTAAAAAAGACCTCTCTTGCCTTCTCATAATGAGATTTCCATAGGCCATATGATACTTTTAATCAGCAGTCTTTATAATGCCCAGATAACTTGGACTAGGTCTGCCTTAATTTAGGATAACTTTTAAAATCATAAGCAAATCCCCAAGACATGAAAAGGCAATTAAGGTAATATGATTTGCCAAGAAGGTTGTCTGTTAAAGAATAACCATACATCTCAGTTTGACTGGTCTAGTCTAAGGTGATTTTTGCAGATTCTGAATTATGAATTTTAATTCTATATTCAATAAACTTCAGAGGAAAATAAGGCATCTTGCAAAATTCACGGTAATTCCAAAGTTATGTTCATGCTAAGAATACATGCCTGTGACAGGAATCTACGATTTAAGATAAACGTTAAGATTATTTTTAAATGAGCTCTCTCTATATCCCTATTTTTCTCCCCCCTCTCACATTATCTCTTCTCAAACTGGCCAAAATAGTACCAGCACTTCAGCTATACCACAGAATTACAAATAATAAACATATGAAGGAACAGACATACTCGAAGCTCCTTGAAAAATGAGAATTTTTATGTGCTCGGAATGGGTTAGAAAAACTTGAAAAAAATTCATTGGCATAACCACACTAATATTCACTTTGCCTTTTTCCTTTACATAACGCTTCATAACTACAGCATTTCTTCCGGGCCATTTTCTAATGGCAAATTAGGTCCATACATTTTATAAGCTTTAGCTCCACCTCATTTGTAGAGGTGGGTTCCTAAATCTCACTAATATGTCACAATGGAGAGAAACAGTTCCTGAAATTATCTGACAGTAAAGTTTCAGTTTCACACTGGTGTATTGATACAGACTGATACTACATCTTAGGCTCAGGCGGTCCTCTGACTTCGGAGGTAAACTGGGTCCGCAACCCCTGCTGGTTCTACGGCATCTTAGACCATGTATGTGAGCTCTGCACGGGGACACCTCATTGGAAACCTGGCCTCCTCTGGCCCCCGGGGACCTACCTGGATCTGTGCTTCGGCATCCCTCACCGAGACGCTCAGGGAGCTCCCGGTGGAGCCGGAGCGAGGTCTCTTGTCCTGTCGCAGCAGCTCGGGGCCCGCGCTGAAGGAATGTCGCATCTGTCCTTGGTCCACCAGGTGCTGTGGACGCTGAAGCAGCGGGGAGTCCTGGCCTCTGGGGCCCAGCGGCTCTCCCTTCTTCTCCACTTTGCCGTCTTTGGGGAACGTGGGCAGGTTGTGCTGCTGCTTCCTCTTTTTGTACTCAGTCATGAGCTTTGAGATGGTCTTGTCGGCCGCCATGGTGTAGATCTTGTTCCCCGCGTTCTCCCACCACTCTTTCTTGCGGCCGGCATCCTTCTTCTCCACTTTGGGGCTGGGCGGCAGCATCAGCGTGTCCCCGCTGCCCGCCCTCAGGCTCAGGGACTCGCCCGAATGCTCCCGGGGCTGACTGCGGTCGTCCTCGGAAGGCGTGTCCTTCCCGGAGAAGCCGCCCGTGGACGGGGTGGACGACTCGGACTGGAAGGAGGGGAGGATGAAGAAGGGGTCGCTCTTGAAGACCGGCGGCTCCTCCAGACAGTTCTCCAGGTCCAGGTGCATCTGGATGTAGTGGTTGCACAGCTCCATGCACAGCTTGTGCAGCCTCTTCACCAGCCACACCCAGTCCGCGTTGCTCACGGGCTGGACGCTCAGCGAGGGCATCCGGGCGCGCCACTGCCTCTTCTCTTTGCCCCTCGGGGGGCTCACCTGGGCGGTCTCCTCAAAAATGTCTTCGTCTTCTGACGAGCACTGCTGGGAGGAATCCGTGCTTCTCTCATCGTCCTCAAAAAGGACCTTCTTCACCTGCTCGGCCGTGATGGTTTCTTGATTGGTGAGGACGGCACACACCAGCGCGTGGAAGTAAATGTTGAAACTCATCGCAGACTGGCGGTAGAGGTTGGCGGCGCCCCCGATGCCAGACACTTTCTTCAGCAGGCACTTCAGCCCCGGGCTGGTGTCGAACTCCCTGGCCGTCCTGTAGGAGTCCAGCAGCAGGTCAAATATGACCGCCAAGTTCTGCATGGATATGTAGCGGAGGAAGCCGGCCAGCTTGGTCTCCGGGACCTGGGGCGTCTTCTCCTCTCCAGGAGAGGGGCCTTTGACAAACTCCTCTAACAAGATGTCATACAAGTTCTGGAGTAACACTTGATGGGACAGCAAGCTCACCACGATTTCCCGGAAAGAAACGCTTCAAAGGAAAAGAAAGGGGTTGATTGATGCTCTTCTGTCTTATATCAGTTATTTCAAGGCAATTCAGACATTACCCATTTCAAAATGATATATGTGAAATTACAAACTAAAGTTATTCAAATGTCTTAAAAAAGGGCAAACTTTTGGGGGCATTACATGGTAACCATTTTAATCATAACCAGTGGATGGGGGAATCTGGGAAAGTGCAGAAAAGATACATGGCAGCTGGGAGGGTCGTTTTTTTCCTTGGGGGTGTTGAGTATGTTGTGCACTGTGACCCATCACATGAGGTCAGGTGATGTCCACTTGCAGCATCGTGTCAGTGCTCAAAGAGTTGCAAATGTTGGAGCATTTTGGATTTCAAATTTTTGGAGTGAAGATGCTCAACCTGTTCTACCAAACATTTTAATTCGCCAATGTGGTTTTGGGTTTATGGTTTCATTTTCAAAAGATTGGCCTTAGAATTTTGTAAAAATAGCTTATGCCATTATATTGCCAACTAATTCCCCAAACTGGGTAATTATAAAATGATGACAATGCTTATTAACAATATTGATTACAAAGGTACAAGTATTATGTTAGTAAGTTTCTGCTTTATTTTTATCTCACTATGACCTTGAATTTAAAAATTTTTGTAAGTTAGCAGGAAAAGTACTTTTTTTTTTTTTTTTTTTTTGAGACAGAGTCTCACTGTGTTGCCCAGGCTAGAGTGCCATGGTGTTAGCCTAGCTCACAGCAACCTCAAACTCCTGGGCTCAGGTTTTAGTAGAGACGGGGTCTCGCTCTTGTTCAGGTTGGTTTCGAACTCCTGAGCTCAAACAATTCGCCTACCTTGGCCTCCCAGAGTGCTAGGATTACAGGCGTGAGCCACCGCGCCCGTCCAAAATTGTTTGCTTTTAAAATAAGTAAGTGGTTCTGAGGCTGGTTTCAAACTCCTGAGCTCAAACAATCCTCCCGCCTCGGCCTCCCAGAGAGCTAGGATTACAGGCGTGAGCCACCGCGCCCGGCCAAAAGTACTTTTTTAACTAGCAGAAAATAATAATCTTATAAAAATCTAAATGCTGACTTTGCCCTTTGGTAGTTGTCACTGAGGTAAAACATTATTCTCAAGGAAAATGAAATGAGTAACAAAGGACTGTCACTCAAAAACAGTAACCTTTTTAAATAAATCACTTTAACTTTTTTTGTGGTAAAATATACATAACATACAGTTACTATTTTAACTAGTTTCATGTATACAATTCAGTGGTATTAAGTATATTTACAACGTTGTATAATGAGCACCACCTTTCCACCATCCCTAACCGAAACTCTGTACCCATTAAACAAGAACTCTCCATCCCTCTCCTCTCAGCTCCTACTTAAGTAACTTTTGATAAGAGACTTAAACTATTAGGAAACCTGAATGCAAATTCTTCTTCTGAAGAAGGCTCTCAAAGCTACCAGTTTGGTCCAGTGTCTCCTGTCCACACTATAGGACCCTTCACTGATTATATAAGTCTCTCCTCATGCCGTAACATCCTCAAGGGAAAGGGCAGTATCTTATTCATCTTCTTGTCCCCAGTAACTGGGAAAATGTCTGGTGACAGCAGCACTCAGTAAGTCTCCAAAACAAATCAAATAACAAAAGCCCTGGGTGTGGGCTGCTCAAAGAAGCACAACCAGAGGGATGAGCTGGATCAGCCTTCTGCAGGTATAAAACCCTTGGCCCACAGGGATATTTTCTGTTACTTCCCTGAGAAACAGAAAGCCATTTTCTAGCAAACACCTGAAAAGAGGGCTAGCGCAAAGCCACCTTTGGATTGTGGAATATTTTTATCAACCAAGACCATCTTTTTGATGCTAAATTTAAGATATAAAATTGCTAGCTGTGCATGTATAAAAGGACAGAACATACGCTTTACTTTAGGGTTGAGCTAAATGATGCAGCAAGAACAAAACAGAGGGAAAGGGGAAATTTTCAGAAAGGTACAGAAACAGCGAAATAACTTTTATAGATATGTGATTCTTAATCTTCTGTGCTGACGGACAAGAAAGATCTCAAACAAAATCAACAAGTAACTTTCCAATTCATTGTACCGAAGTGTTTCTACCTTTTTCTCAGCACACCTTTAAGAGGGGAACTGCAGTCTTCCTGCTTCTGAAAGCCAGCCTCCAGACTGGATAATTGAGAGATAATTGCATAATAAGCGTTGACTTAAAACATGCTAATGTCAGTAGATTCATAGTTTAAAATACAGCGTAAAGCTGTAATTAAGATGTTGTGGATTGAGTAAAGCTTGGGGCTATGAATGTCAAAGCTATTAAACAAACCAATCAACCCAGATTTCTCTTTATTTGAATGCTGTGATCTGTTTTAGTTTAGGTCTTTTTTTCCATGGTGATTTTAACATGGACCTGTAAGGATGCATCTGACCAGTACATAACAAACTTCCCTTAGGTTTGTTAAGGATCTTCCACTATATCCTATGCTAAGTTAAGAGTTGCCTCTGCTAACTTAAAGAATGTTAGGGAATGTCTTTTGGCTCAGTGGGCTTGGCCAAAAAATTTAATATGTTTTTCCTATTTTACTTAAATACAGTGAGTAATTGCCTAGTAAAAGTGCTAAGTAAATTAATTTTATGAGCCATGTTGATATATTTTTAAATCTTAACTTTTTAAACCAATAACATAAGAACATTAGGTTATTCTATTATTCCTATGTTCTGTTTGTAATTTGAATTCAGCCTATTATTATTCCTTTTTCCCTACCTTTACTTCAAAAATGCTCCAGTAAGAAGAATTTGCTGAATGGGAACCAGAAATATGAAAAAAGGAAAAGAGGTAGGAAAAGAAATGAAATTCTGAAGTAGGTCAAGGTTTAAAGATGTTAAAGGACTGCACAATCTTTGGTACATGAAATAGATTTAAAAAAGACAAACACTTAAAAACTAGTGACTGCTGGCAGCTGAGGGAGGCAGGGGCTAGAGCTGGGGAGGATACATTTAAATGGGATATTGGGAAAGTTCTATTTCTGAAGTTGGGTAGCAGGTTCATATTTATTTTAGTTTTTATTCAGGATTTATAACTTTTGAACATTCCATATACTCTTTTGTATGTAACAACACTTGAGTAAAAAAAAGTATTACCTAGGAATTTCACCCACATGGTCATATGAATCAAATTGCTATGCTAACCAGCTAACTTTTGGACAAATCTTTCAGAGCTCATAAAATGATACCAATTATCTTAGATCGGATTGCTGTAATAAAATACCATAGAATGGGTGGCTTTGAAATGATAGAAAATGATTTCCCACAGTCATGGAGGCTGGAAGTCTGAGGTCAGGGTGCCACGCCAGCATGGTCCTGTCCTGGTGAGGGCCCTCTTCCCCATGGCCGACAACTGTCTTTTCATTGTATCCTCACGTGGCAGAAAGAGGGCTGTCTCACATCTCTTCTTTTAAGGGCACTAACCCCATTCATGAGGGTTCCACCCTCATGACCTAATTTCCTCCCAAGCTCCCATCTCCTAATCCCATCACATTGGGGGTGAGGATTAAATCATATGAAGTCGACATATGGACAAACATTCAGTCCATTGCACCAACTCACTTCCTAAAATGGAAATGGGAAAGGGCAGAGGCCTTATATTCAGGAGACCCAGTTCTGACTGTGGCTCTCCCACTTTACAGTTGAGTATCTTGGACCGAGTGACCCAGCCCCTCTAAATGTGTTGTCATGGGTCAAATGGGAGTGGAAACATCTACCCTCTGGTCTTCACATACAGTGCTCAAATGCTTATCATCATTACCATTGATGTGTCAGAAGTTTAAAAATGGAAATGTCAGTCATGCCTTCATCTTCAACTCTAGGAACTGTTGCTCCATGAATTAGTATTAAACGTGTTTTGGGACAGGATCTGTCTTAGGAGTTTTTACAGAGCTTTGCCCTGAAGGCATAGGTGAATGTGCTGGTTTGCATTTCGAATGCTGTTACAATGGAAGGGCGTCTCTGAAAGGCAGTAGCGGCTGTATCCCACAAGGCGCCGCGTTTCTCAGACCTAAAGAATTGGATTTGCTTCGTAAAGCACAAGCGAATCTGTTAAAAACTATAGGCCGAGAGCTGACGATGAAGTGCCCTCCGGAACAAACAGCTTCCCGGAAAGGCCAGCTTCACAAAGGGCCAAAAGCAGAGCCTTTGTTTAAACTACTCTAGACTAGCTGTCTCCATTCACAATAACCTAATAAACATGGAGCTTGCATATCTCTGTTTAACCCCTCTGTTTAAATGATAAACTTACCTTAGAATTTAGAAATTAACCTTTGAAAGACTTTGTAACCGTTTGCTCACGTAAATAGAATTAGTTAAAGAATCTGTAGAAGCCCTCTGTAAAAGCCTTTTGAAAATCTGTTAACCTGAGAGGAACTACCTGTTGTTATGTAAATCTGTTACCCCTAACCATTGTTCACTATTTTCTATAAGTTACCATGTAAGACCTCATTCGGGGCTTTTTGAGACCAACGGAGAGGTCCGAGCCCCCTGAGCTCCCGCTTTGCCTATAATCTTTATAAACTTATAAAACTATTTCTTTGTCTCAGTGTATTCTTTTATTTCTTCCATTTTCCATTTCTCTCTATTATTTTCTTATCCCTTGCAACTCTACCAAAGGGACCCGGTTTTTTGCAGGGAACACTGGCCACGTTCCCCGCAAGGAACAATATTTTTTTTCGGCAGGATGATAGTATTTAAAAGGGCAAGTTTCTCGTGGCAGAACACAGATCTTTTTGTCTCCTGACAACTGTGTTATTCATGGAGAAGTTTATATATTTCTCACTGAAACAATCTGAACCATGTCTCAAGTTACAATTAAAAAAAAGGTTATAATATGTATGATGTTATGGGCTGGGTGTGTCGCTCACAAACTCATATATTGAAATCCTAAGTACTAGGGTACCTTAGAATGTGACTGTATTTTGGAGAAAGAGTTGTTAAAGAGATAATTAAGTCAAAATGAGGTCATTAACATGGGTCCTAATCCAATATGACTGGTGTCTTTATAAGAAGAGGAAATTTGGACATAGACACGTACAGAAGAACCAACATGTGAAGACACAGGAAGAAGACAGCCATCTACATGCTAAGGCGAGAGACCTCAGAAGAAACCCTGCAACACCTCGATCTCTGACTTCTAGACTCCAGAATTGTGAGAAGTAAATTTCTATTGTTTAAGTTACCCAGTCTGTGGTACTTTGTTGTGGCAGCCCAAACTGATACATATGAAATGTGGGAAATTTGGTTAAAAGGCTAAGAGTTTTTACGAAAACTTTTTCCAAACGATTCCAAACGTTTTCAGTATTCTTGGCCAAAGTTTGGATTACAATGAGCAAGAGGTGGGAATAAATGAACTTTCTTATTTTTAAGCGCCCTACGTGTTGAAACTTAGGTGCTCACCTTTTCTTGGTGTGTCCATTTGGTTTCTCATCAGGAGGCAGCTCAATAATGAGCTGACAGGACTGAGCATGATCGAAGTTGTTTGGAGTCTTTGGGGAGCACTGGGTGTCCAACATAAACACCTGTGTGAGGACACAAAGGCACAGTTCAGAACCTCACCTCCTCGACTGGCTCCATGACCGATTAGCTGGATGGTCTTGGGCAAGTTGTCTATTCTGTCTACTCATTTCCTAAGCTATAAAATGAGGCTGAGAATGGTTTTCTACCTGGTATGTTTATTGAGAGAATTAAGCGAGTTGATTTATCTGTATTACATAGGCAGAGCACTGGAACAGAAGAGTAAATACTCAATGTTAGCTGCTGACCCTAATAAAACTACTAGTTCTACCATTTGACAATTCATTATACTCCAAATAGAAAGCACTGACATTTAATATTAATTAAGAGTAAATAAAGAGGGGCTATGTTTGTAAAAGGTCATCTCTGATTTTGAGTCTGTTTGGTATCTTATTATATCCAACACAGGAATAAGAAATTAATCAGGACTACTGATGTGGCCACGTGACTCTACTAGGCAACAGCAGACGTGACTAAGAAAATAGTGAGCACTTATTGGATCTCTGATCCTAATGATTTCACTTCACATGACTTGAAACACCTTCACTACTTTACTTTGGAAAGATTAGAACAATTTTAAAGAAACCTTTTCTTTCCAAATCTTATAAGAATTATCAGATTATTGAATATGGGGTTATTTTATGAGCAAATATGGGAGAAAGGTTTTGGACTGAGGAAGAAAGAAATATTAAACACTTCTCTGCTGTTCTTCTCCATTAATGATCTATTTCAGAAGAGAAATCCTTGACATTTTCATATTCTTACTGTATGGTTGGATGTGGTTGAAAAGATTACTGTACGCACACGTTTTTATCTAGTCTTTATCTAGCTGGATGTAACAGCTTCTTGTTTAGAGAAGCTATCCCTTTGGAGGGCCACCCTTGTGGTTTCTCTGCTATTGCTCCTAGCCACACTGTAGCTACAGAAGTTACAACTGCCATGCTGTTGGCAGTGGCTCTTTATGGCAGCCTCACAGCTGTTCTTCTGTCCTAACTTCTGCAGACTGGCCACGGAGGCTTCCGTGGGCTGCACTCCCTCCCTTCAGAACCAGCAGAATCACCATGTCCTGGATGTTATGAATGTGCTCAGCAGATGATGTGAGCAACTGGAGATAAAAAGTGCTTGACCTACTACCTGAGGAAGCCCTCCAGATGCCAGACCTGCCCAGGAAACTTCTCAACTGATGGCATGTAAGTGACTGAGTTCCTTATCTGGGTAATCAGGGGAATCCTAGATTATCAGTGTGCTAAGAGAAAACTTTATTGAGTATACCTCCAATGCATTTTATTTCTTCAAAATTAATGCAAATCTGACAGTTCATATACATTTGTAAAACTTTATATTGTAAACATATACATGCAAAATAATTTCTCCATGTGAAGACACAATTCAAACATGTCTGTTGCTATGACATGATGGATTGCTTAGCCAGTCAATGACTGTTGGGAATCTTGTCCAGTTTTGTTTTTTCACTACTATGCATAGCATTGTTATGAATGTATGTGAATTTAGGGATAGACTTAGTTGTACTGCTGCTGAAAGCCCCATACGGGGTTTCTTACAGGCAAACTGCCATACCACTTAGGGTCATATCTGTAGCTTGTGCTAATACTATAAGGTCTTCTGTGATTCAGTAACTCATTGATTCAACAAACACATACGAAGCATCTTCTCTATGCCTTGCTCTAAGAATACCAAGGTAAATATACAGAATCTGTTCTTTGCTCCTCAGGTGTTCACAACCAACTTTTAAATGTTAAGTTCTGTGTTCTGTATGGAAGATATAAGAAAACATCCAATAAGTGTGCCATCATTAGGCACTCGTAGTCTACCAGTAACAATAACATTTAAGCAAATACTTATAAGTAGTTGGAGCAAGGTGTGGATAAAGTACAGTGACCAGGCTGCAGAAAGGACTCTCTATTTGATCTAGGCACTAGAAGATGCAACAAGCAAGAGATGGTGGAGAAGAGATGACACTGTTGATCAGGTTCAAGTCATTCCTGGTAAAGGATGGCAAAAGAATGGTCCCCAAGGGGCATATGTCCCTGAGGGAATGAAAGCCAGTTTGGTGATGAAAGACCTTCAGGAAGAATTACCAACATGTATTTCAAGTTTCTGGAATCGCTGAGCTCAAAAGCCCCAGCCCTTACCTGCTGGGCCATAGCTCGGATGCGCCAGTACTCAGCCTCGGCGCTGGGGGAGGAAGAGGGGGCCGCCACCCGCACCTGGCAGCCTTCCCCACTGAAGCTCTCAGTGCCGCTGTGGAAGCAGCCCAGCAGGTCCTAGGGAGAAACAGCAGATGCTCGCTGGGTGCATCCTGGTTCACGGCATAGTCTTGGATCTGACATTGTCACTGTGCCTGGGACAAAAGCATTGACCCCGCAACTTCTTTCTCACCCTTTGCTCTGAGGAGGCAGGCAGAACCCAGGTGCCCAGCTTGGTAAGGCATCAGGGAGCTAAGGAAGGTTTGAACCGCTCTGGCTCTCTCCTCCCAGCCATTTACCTTCACTGGCTTGAGTGTGGCAGAGAATGCGTCCTGCAGGGCGCAGCAGGCAAGCCTCCACATTTCTTCTGTGAACACAGGGCCCGCCGTCACCAGGACGTACCTGCCCAAGAAACAAGGAAAGGGGCCTGGAATCGAGACACTTCGTTGCCACAGAATTTAGTCCCTTACGTACTCGTGCTTAGGTTTATTCTGTGGTTTCCCTGTAAGTCTTCCTGTCTTTTATCACTCTTGCCTTCCATCCCTCTGATATTCCATTGTCAACATGCTACTTCCTAAACCATTTTACTAAAAAATATCAATGGATCCCCACTGTAAGTAGGCCAATGATTAAACTCAGACTTGTATACAAGACTGTATGTATTCTGTACTGATGATTCCATTCTAGCTGCACTTTCCACCACTCCTCTACAAATAATAACCAAAGCAAACCCCAAACCCTTTTATTGTCACTTATAATTCTTATCTCCATGCATTTGTTCATTTTGTTCTCCTAATTGGAAAGTGCCCACCTTAGAGGATGTGACCAAGTGTCACTGCTATGACTAAGCCCTTGCTGGCAGCTTCTGGTCCTTTCTTGGCATTTACCACTTAACTCCTCACTATTATCATTTTTCATGTGACTCTCTCTCTGTTACATCATTTTAAATAGACTCTAAGCTCCGTGAGGGTAGGGACTTTAGTTTACATATATCACTTTCTCTGAACCACAGTACTCTGTATCGCCTTACACAATAAATATTTGCTGCCTGAACACAGGAATAAAAAATTGTCAGCCTGTAGTCATTTTTAATTACAAAATGCAATTCAAAAAGTGGATTGCTACTACAAAGATAATTTAATTTCCTTGGATTTTATAATGAAAATTCAACTTTGTAGAGAGTCAGGAAACTTTTTTCTCACCTAATACAGGAGCATCCCACTCTGGAGATGGTTTCCGTGGGCTTGGCCACACACGCTACCAGTAGCTCAAAGAGGTCCCTCAGCATGGTGTTGATCATGCTCTCATACCTGATGTCTACAGGAGAAGGAAAGAGTCAAGGTGTATCACTCAGCTCTAGTGTAAAGGGACAGACTGAAATGGCCATCTATAGCAAAAGAGGGAAGTCTGAGTGATAAGATACATAATTATCTGAGAAAGAAAAAACAATGAGAAAAAATGGCCATATCAAAAAAAAATCCAGTGAAACCTTTTTTCAAAATTTTTATCCAATTTTAGCTTGTTTAATTCATTTCTAGATAAATTAAGATGAAATACATGGTTCATTTTTATGTGTTGATAAACATGTTTGAAAATTAAGTGTATCATTCATCTACTTAGAACACATAATTAAATATGGCCTAAATATTATACGAGATGGTAAAAATTTTAAATTTTTTTTTAAAAAGGATACAGTAAAACATACTTTCCTTACTGCCAATACCAAATTAAAATGAATCAAATGCTCTTGGAAAACAAAAAAATCTCTAGTCCTACCACTTGCTGAACCTTGTCAGTCTGGCTTTAGTCTGCACACTAGCTCCAGATTAAAGAAAAATAACACTTTTAAAAATCACATTTGCCCAATTCAAGGAATACATCTGCATTTTTTTCCTCAAAGTCTTTGTAATCACACAGAACCAATTTTCACAGAAGAATCCATGGTCCCATGTTGTGCGAGGCAATGCCCTGGTCAAGAACACGGACCCCTAGGGATAGGGTCACCGGTTACCACCTACATGTGGAAAAACCCACTTGTTTTCTTTCTCAATTAGTGCCCCTTTTTGCAGGGCAAATTGTCCTTGCTAAACTTAGTAGAGACACAGTTTCTTATCTCTGCTTTGTGACTCTCCCGTGGAAGAGAGAGTGTCTCCTTAGTTTCTCTATCCTCTCCAGAAAGGACAGCTCTCCCCTTTTATTTCCACACGCTTTTGCCTTCTGTTTATAAGTTCTGTGGCCAGCAGAGATGCAGTGATGTTTCTTCTGCTCCCAAACTTCCAGATCTTCCCACATGTGGCTCCACTGGTATCACAGCTGACACATTCCCCCTGCCTCTAGGTCCCTCTCCATCTGCTGACTTCAACATACAGTCCACCCTACACTTTCACAGCTTTTTTCAAAGTGCCACAAATATCTAGAAACTTCTCTTCATCTTGAGTCTGTTAAGCTACTATTTGCCCATAATCGGATCAAAACCCCACCTCCTCCCTTTAAGCTCCTGAGCTGAAACAGCACAGCAAGCTATATCCCCTTTCCACCCCCAGGTATACTCCCTCTCCACCCCTAGGTTACAGTGATAGTTCTTTTTTACTTATTATATACTCAAATTTATTTCCTCTCTCCTAATGCACAGATATCCTAGACCTCTTATTAGGTATTTTATTTTCAACCATGAATGTATTTTGAGTATTTCTGTTTGATAATTTTGTAGAGGATACATGGGTACCAGTTTTCTCTTTGATAATCTACTATTAGAAGGCTGGCACTGACCATGTATTTCTGTTTTAATAATTTCCAGGACAAAAATCATGTTACCAGTATTTGCATTAGGTATTTACTAAGCCCTTTTAGGCAATGATGCTGCCTACTAAAGAACTAGTCCACATGAACTTCTCTGGCGCTATGGATACCTGAGTGTAGAAAGCTCTGAATGTGCTCTACTACCAGCTCGCAGGACAGACCGATGGCATGCTTGAAATTAGCAGAAGCCACGTCCCAGTAGGAATGGTCTTTATGGCTACGACGGAGCCAAAGGGACATCACAGGAAGGAGAAGGTGAACAACTGCATAGATACCGAACCCGGGTCCTGAAAAAGAAAAACGTCAGAGTCAAAATTGTGATATGAGCAACAGCCTGGCATTAAAGGGAAGTGCCCTGCCATGGCTTGGCATTGCCCATCTCTTTCTCCCCATCCTCTGAGAATGTACAAGGAAAAAGAATTTACCACTGATTGGGGAATATGTGATCTTTAGTAGCATTTTTCATAATTAATCATGTCATTAAATATTCACAAATATTAATTTTAATGCCTGTAGAATATGTAAATACTTTTCCCATGATTTACTTAACTGCTTTCCATTTAAGGTGTTCATTAGTTATAGTCAAGATGTTTCAACAAATATATATACATTTTTGTCTTTATTACAGTTAATTTCCTTAGATGATAGACTCCTAGGAGTAGAAATATTGGGTTAAATGCTTCTCACACATATTTAGTGACAATCAATGTGAAAGCAGAAAATTGTGCTGACCAGTAAAACAGATTTAGTGGTATATAATTAATGCTATAAAATATCTGCTTATTACTTGATGGAAGGCTTTTAACTTTTTAACATGTGAGAGTAGCTAAGGTATTTTGTTTTTAAAAAATTCCAGTACAAACTTTGGTATAGATTTTGAAAAAGTATCAATTATCAAGTCTTCATTATAATGAATACAGACATCCTCTTCTTACTATGGAATCAATTAGTGGTTTCATTTAGGGTTCTGATTTTGTTAGTAAAATACTTAAATTTCTATAAAAAGCTTCTTTGAGCTTGGGAAAATTGGGATGAATGAATGTGTATATTAAACTTGCTTAATTCAGAACAAGAAAATTCCTAAGGGTCATTCTTTTCTTATACTGTCAGGTGCTGTACTAGGTGAGCATTAAATATCTTTTTCCAAATCTAATCACCTATGACCTTCACACAAATGAGGTGTTGCTGTCTTGATACTGCATATACTTACGCGTGGTCTGTTTATGTCCATGGTAGATCAGGTGAGCCCAACCCACAGCCCTGAGGCCAAGAGAGTGTGACTGTGAGATCCTGCCACAAAGGAAGGCTGTGATCATTGAACATGACACAGCTAACTGGCTTCTGGAGACACCAATACCACAGCTGTGGCCCAGTTAATGTGGGGCTCCTGCATACCCAACTAACTGGCCACGATATTTGTAAATGGACTTCTGGGAAGAAATGCAAACACCACGTGGGATATATCTTAAACATCACTTCATCATAACCACTCAACAAATAATTATTTAGCATATTTTATGTGTGAAGCTTTGTGCCAAGTCTAGGAAACAATGAAAGCAGGTAGACACCTGCACAAATACCTTCCTGAAAAAATTTTATGTATAACAACACCCCCTTAAAACAGACATAGAATATTCACCAGGTGTTTTGGTAACATCTCTCAACAGCTCAAAGAGTAAATCCAAGGTCGGTGGCTGGTGCTGCCGGGGACAGTTGGACACAGCCGCTGTTAGCTGCTCCAGCAGGATGATCCAGACTTCTATCAGACCTGGAAACCAAAAAGCAGACCTCTGTGAAATCCATTTAGATATAATGTAGAATTGTCACAAGATTCGATTAAACATTGAATATAAACTGTCAAGTGCTATACAGAGGTGAGACATCACCCAATGTGTTAGCCTTCAGTGCCCATAAACATGAACAGATTATGATTTACAGGTTCTGACAAAGGAAAAGAAAGTGCTCCCATTTCTTCTCCTCCTTTAATACAAAGGTGATATGGTATGTAAATTCTACTGCATTGAAAAGACTGTCAGATTTCTTGGGAGCTGATGATAGCAAAAAACAAAATATCCTTCTATTTCCATTGCCTTGCTCTGTCTTTTTTTTACAAAATAACTTTATTGTGGTAAATACATATAAAAAAATAGCCATTTTAACGTGTGTAATTCAATGGTGTTAATTACATGCATGATATGGTACAACTATCACTACTATTTCCAAAACTTTTCATCATCTCAAGCAGAAACTCTCTAACCATTAAGCAGTCATTCTCCCTCACTCTAGTCCCTGTAACTTCTAATCTATAAATTATGGTTAATTTTCAGGCGTGTTGATGGCATCGTGATTATATTTGTTATCTTTAAAGAACACAAACTGAAACATTTACAGATGAAATGCTATGTTTGAGATTTGCCTTAAAGTAATATGGAGGAAGAGAGAGAGGGAGAGAGCGGGTAGGGAAGAAGAGAAAGAAAAGATATACATGATCCGAGACTGGCCATAAATTGATAATAGTTAAAGCAGGTGATGGGTACATTATACTATTCTGTCCAGTTTTATGTATTCTATATATGTGTATCTGTATGTGTATATATTTTGTATATGCTATCTAGCTTTGGATATATTTGGAATTTCTATAGGGGGAAAAAGTAATTATTTGCCTTTGGAAACCAGAGGAATAGTATCTGAGAATATGTTAATGCTGAGAATTGTTTAATTTTTAATACTAAGTACTTAAAGCTGTTATTTTTATTCTTTTCTATGATCTACTATGTTTCACATATAATTATCACTTTAAAGTCCTGAATGAATTGATTATGTGGGAAACTCAAAATAGGTGCTTGACTGAACTTTATCCATTAGAAGATGGGCTTCCTCGGAAAAAAAAAAATCGATTAATGATTTACACAAATGGGAAGAGGAATGCTCACTGTTACATACACAACTGTTTAGAACTGTTTTAAATAATGTATTATAAATAAACAACATTAGCTCCGGCTTATAATTATCTGGGTTGGAGGTTTAAAATGCTAAGTAAAAATTAATCATTAAACTGAAACTTTTACTAGGCAACATCTAGCCAATTTTCAATACTTTGTTTTCTATATTATTTATTCTCTCCTATAGTTCTTCCTCACAACTAATCTGAACTCATGAAGTTTTACTGTTAATAATCTCCACTGAAAACTGTAAATCTTCCAGCCACCCCCATAAATGAATTTATAACAGCAAAATAAAAAATAAATAAATAAAACTTCCCCTAAAAAGTGCTTTTTGCAAGGGTTTGAAAAAAAAAACTATGTCCAGAAACTAGACCTATTTGAGGGTATGATTTCCATTTCTAGATGGAGAACAGGACAGAGTCTTCTAGATAGAAGACAGCAGGCATAAGCATGAGTTAATCCATCTGAAAATTATCCAGTTACTATACTGAACTCTGATTCACAGATTACATGGGACCTAATTTGAAAAAAATTTGTTAAAATTATTCTTTCCATGAGCCTTCAGCTTCACCAGTCACAGATTCTTTCTTTAGTAATGGCTTAATTTCCCCAGTCTCTAACCAAATAGTCCTGCAGGAAGTAATTATATAATGATTGTGTTTTCTAAAATATATTAAGGCAATTACCAGCCAATTTAAGTGCCCAGGCACCAATACAACTTCATTCCAATTTGCTAAAGTCAAGAGAATTCATAGTTAGAAACTACATTTAGTGGAATCTGCAAATCTGTACCCATCTAACAAGGATGGGTCTGAAGGCATCTATTGTAAAGTGATGCATTTTCGAAAATCCATGGAAACTTTAAATAGACTTGTTATGATAAAATTATTTTTAAAAAGACAGAAACAGAAGCCCATTCTTATGATACATGCTATAGTTTGAATGCGTCCCCCAAAGTTCAAATGTTGGAAATAATCCCCGATGCAACAGTGTTGAGAGCTGGGACCTTTAAGAGGTGATTAAATTATGAGGGCTCTGCCCTCCTGAATAGATTAATATCATTATCTTGGGAGTGGGTTCCTGATTAAAGGAGGAGTCCAGCTCCTTCCCTCCCTCCCTCTAGTGCTCTCCTCCCCTTCTGCCATGGGATGATGCAGCAAGGAGGCCCTCACGAGATGCAGACCCCTCAACCTTGGACTTTCTAGCCTCCAGAACTATAAGAAATAAATCTCTCTTCTTTATAAAGTACCTAATCTCAAGAATTCTGTTACAGCAGCACCAAAAGGACTAAGACAATCTATAAGCTACTTAATTTATGGCTTAAGCTTCTGGGCATATGAACATAGAGATTAACCTGGTTTAGTCCAATCAATTAACTTACCAGTGTCATCGTCAAAATCAGACAGGATGGATTCAATTCCGTCCTCACTGCTGGCTGACTGCTCCTGAAGTCTTCGAGGCAAGCTAGCAAGTCGCCCGCTAAGGAATATTGGCTTCAAGGGCATTTTGTAGATTTTGGCCAATAACTAAATGAAAAAAAAAACTGCAATTATATATTGGAAAAAGCTGTACTCTGGGTGTTAAAGAACAATGAAATTATACACCAGTACTAAAGGGAGACAGGAAACTAGAGAAGCTCCCAATGTATAAAAATTTCAAAGTTGGTTGTAATTTGGATTTACAAAGGTGGCTTACAGGAAGCATTCATCCCATGAAACAGATGAAACAGCAAGCATTCAATGGCAACAAAAAACTGGGGAAAAGACCCTATGAATAATTTTTCAGTGTTTTAATTACATACGAATTTTACAGACTTTTAGAAACCTACCAAGGGAACCATGGGATATGGCAAGAATTTCTGCCTATGGGAAAAAATGTTCTACGGGGATCACTGAGAAGAGTCTGCAGGGGCATGGGATACCAGATTGATTTCCCCTCCCCTGACTCAACCTCTAAGGAAACACAGGGGCAAGAATGGGGAAAGGGAGGACTTTAGGGCCAGGTGGGAGAGATGAAGGTCTCAGAGCTGACAGAGTGCCCTGGGCTCTTTATTCCCCTCTCAGTATGAGGGCCTGGGCCCCCAGGAATCCCTGTTGCTGGGACAAACTCCCCAGGATCCTTCTGTCTTCATGAATTGGAATTGTGTCTGCCATGCCCACACTGTTCTAGAAACCAGGGAAACAGCTGTGAGCAAGAGAGACAAAACTCCTGTTCTCATGGGTCTTACAGACTAGAATTGTTTCACAAATAATAAAATCTGACATAAATGCTATAGGAAAAAGTGAACAGGTGGCACTAGAAAGAGTGATGGGGTGTGAGGGGAACATTGGCAGGAGCTGCCAGATCTTTTAGCCCTGGTCTCTCTGAGGAGGTGATGTTTCAGATACAGAGTGTCACACAGAATCTGGGGAGAGTGTGTCCAGGCAGAAGGAGCAGCAATGGCCCTGGTCGGAAATGAGCTGGTGTATTTGGGGGGCAGAAAGTCAGTGGGTTGGAGGGAAGGATCTGAGGGTGGAAGGGGAGGCAGCTGGAGGGAGAAGTCAGGGCTGCATGTCTTCCTGAGGCCATGGCTTAATGCTGCCACTGAGGGAAAAGGTAAAAACACAGCCCAGAAGAGACCTGGGGACACGCTTGGGAAGACAGGAGAGAAACTATTGACTGAGGGCTGTCACTGCAGCCTAGAGGAGAAAGGGCTTCAGCAGGTAGCACTGTCGGCCACTGAAGCAGAAAGGGCAAAGTGTGTGACGGTCACTGCTCACTTTGATAAGACAATAAAGTGGCTCTCTTTATTGGGTCTTGATTGAACATGCCCCTCTTTCTTTTTTAAATGTCCCTTTTCACTGTTTGCACCCCCGCCCTCTACTTTTTGGGACTATCAGGAAGATTTCCCATGACCCCGTGACCCCTTCCCCTACAGCCAGATGCAAATACAGAGATTATGCAAATATAGAGATTACAGAGCGTGAAGGAGAAGGTTCAGGGATCTCAGGACCCAACTGTGTGTTCTAGCATGTTTTCATTGTTTTCTTTTCTTTGTGGGAAAGGTAGGGGCAAAAATTTATACTCCAAATCTGAGCCCTAATGTCCTCGGAGACAGCAGAAAGCATTCCTCCCGGGCTTCAGCGACCGACATCTTCCAAGGTAGGTTTCTGGCTGGGAGCTCGGAGGGGGGGGTCTCCGCGTACCTGAGAGCAGCGCCTGAGGTAATCCAGGGCTGGCAGGCACAGGTCTGTGGACGCAGCTCCTGGTCCTGGGACACAGTCTCCAATCTCTTTACAGTCCACCTCCCCTGGGGCCGTGGGGGGGACAGAGACCAACAAAGTTACCCTCGCTTGCCTCCTTATAACAGAAGACCTATTTATTCACACTGCATTAATTCACCAAATATTTACTAAAATAGAAAAGAAAAATTACCCTCAATTGCACAACCCCGGGGAAAATCCTGAGAAATATCCTTTCAGGCATTTTTTTTCCCCACTGCATGTGTGTATGTTAGATACAGTTGGGACCAAACTATGCATATTATTTGGTTGGGATTATGACTGTTTTGTAACTCCCCCTCTTTCACTAAACAACGAACATTTCTTCCATGTTCTTTTATGGTTACTTTCAGTAACTGAATGGTGGTTCCTTTGTACATGGACACACTGGAATTGACATCTCCAGGCCCTGCTATTGGATGGTGTGACTTCTGAAGCTTTGATGACAACGGACAGTCCCAGAGACAAGCCCTGGATTGGACTGGAACGAAGCACTCCTTCTTTCTTTGGAAAAGGACCTCCATTGTTGCCAATACACAGCACTAAATGGTGATGATAAATGAGGACTCTGGGAAGAGTCTAAACATCTGGGGCTTGGGGACAGAGACTACTTAATTGAATTTAAATGATTTCTGTTTTTTGTACACATCCAGACATTTAACACATCTGTAGAGGGGCATCTAGATTTTCTATAGGAATAGTAACAATTATTATTTTTCTTCTTGTAATGAATCTATCTCTATACTTTTAATAAAATCATTTCACAGTACTACAATTGTTTCTAATTATAATTGTAGCAACTAGCACCATCCCTTGTGGGTAAACAGACATAATTACTAGGCATTAGTTAAAATTCAGAAGCAAAGAGGCATGTTTCTCCTTTTAAAAAAAGAAACATAGCTTATGTTTTAGATTAGGGGTTGGCAAACTTTTATTGCAAAAATCCAGATACTAAATACTTTAGGCTTTGTAGGTCTTACTATCTTTATTGCAACTTCTCAGCTCTGTTGTAGCATGAAGGCAGCCATTGACAAATGAGCATGCTGTGTTCCAATAAAACTTTATTCATAAAAACTGTCAATGGGTCAGATTTGGCATGTGGGCCACAGTGTGCCAACTCCTGGTTTAGATTAATATACCTTATAATATGAAAACACAGACCAGGTGAAATTCATGTTGAAATAAACAGATGGTAATAAAAAATAAATTCATTTCCTACCCATGATTACAGCGGGTATTCCCAAGTTTTTTACTTGGCTGCTGTGTTATACATCCAAGTCTATGCCGATGGTACTCCCTGGAGCCAGGCAGTATGCAGGTTCTATGGCTATACTGGGGGCTCTGCCTTTTCCACTGACCCTCAAACCCCAAACACATACCTCCACCTTATGATTCACAGATGAAAAATAATAGAACCTGTTTTAAACATCTTCTACGTGATAATTAATTTTAGGTGACAATTTGACTAGATTAAGGGATACCCAGATAGTTGGTAACACATTATTTCTGGGTGTGTCTGTGAGGTTGTTTCTGGAAGCCACTGGCATTTGAGTCAGTGGACTGAGTAGGAAGATCCATCCTAACCCAAGGTGACAGGCCACCATGCAATCAGCTGAGGCCCGGATAGAACAAAAGGCAGAGGAAAAGCAAATTCTCTTTCTCCAAAGCCAGGACACACTTCTCCTGTCTTAGGCATCAGAACTTGAGGTTCTCCAGCCTTTGGCCTCAGGCTGAGAATTACATCATCAGTTCCCTGGTTCTGGGGCCTTCAAACTTGGACCGAGCCATGCCACCGGCTTCTCTGGTTTTCCAGCTTAAGACAGCCTATCATGGGACTTCTCAGCCTCCATAATCACATGAATATTTTAATAATTAGAATTTAAAAATCAGAATAAAATTAGAATTTTCAGTCTCAGAATATTCAATATTATATTCAATAATTGTCCTTATGCAGACAACTAGTCTCCTCAATGTCGCATAATTAGCAGCCTGAGTTAATTTCCCAGCTGCTTAGCAAAAGTAAGAATGCCTCCTGCCCTAGGTTTTATTAATTGTAAATATAATTTGGAAGTGTAGAACCCCGCCCAACCCCCATATTGAGGCCTCGTGTTTTAGGAACTACCTACCTAATTTTATACTTAATTTAGGAACATTTTAATACAATAGATTCTTGCTATATAACATGACCTGCTATAGCAGATTTTTATATAGGACAGGTTTATCTGGGGTGAAATGAATGAGAAGGTTAATTAGTTAAATCACAACTTTAGAAGAAACTTAAAAGTTTTGAAAGTCTCACCATGGAGAGCTCTTAGATCAGGAGCCTGAGAACCTTTTTAAATAGGGCAAATATGAGGTTGATGTTATTCTTTGAGAATGAAATTGTTATAAAATATAGATTGAAAATATGCTACAAGATATTCCATGACCACAATAAAAGGTATCAACCTTGGGCAAGATCCAATCTACTTTCGCAGTAAGCTTTCTACTTTCGGGTACACAGTACCCCACCATCTGCTTACACCCCAGGACGCCTGCCTGTTCCAGGCAGTCTGTGCCCACACAAAACCACCCTGGAAAGGGTCCTCAGCCATGGAGGACTCCACTTACCCAGTCCTTTGACAAACTTCATAAGGCACATGATGTAACTAGTGGCTGCGTTAGCAAAGACCTGGATGTTGTCGGTATTGAGAAAAGCTTCAAATACATCAAATACTGGAGCTTGGCCTTTTCCTGAGGGAGGAAGATTGTAGAATTTTAAGACAGTAAATTTCTACCCTTCAGGTTTCCCATATTCCCAGAACCTTCCGCAGAGCCTTGGGAAAGATCTACTGGAGAAAAGGCCCGGGCTTTTTGACTGGGCCACTGCCTTGGCTCTGACGCTGTCCTTCTCAGCTCTGCCTCCAGGGAAGCCCCAGGAAGGCTAGGAAGAGACAGCTTGGGAGAGAAACGAGGGCAAAGCTGGCTGAATTCAGGGCTGAGGCAATGTGTTGGTCTATAGGGCAGTCAACTATGTGGCTACTGTAATACTCCTGCACAGATAATTGTAGAATATCTACAGGGAGGGGCAGGGCAGCTTTAGATAAACCTCTGATGGTATATACAAATTTATTCATCTCTGTGCAGAAAAGAGTTAACATAGAAGACCTGAGACCATTATCTTTTAGAAAGGCTTGCTTGGTTAACCTTTGGCTGGCATCCAGGAACTTGGCTCTCAGAACATTCCCAGGCCACAGTTAACTGATAAGCGTAGTTCAGTGTGCCAAGACTGTGCAAACAATATGGTTCATGCTGAATACCTGCTTCCCTTCCGGGAGTCTGGAATTTTGGTATGTGCAAGACAGAGGGTGCCTACATGATCAGCCCACGGTTAGGTCTCTGATGGGCTTCCTTGGGTAGAAACATTGCAAACATGTTGCCCTGTTTTCACTGCTGGGGGAAGAGTGTGCTCTGTGTGATCCTTCGTGGGAGGGCAAGACCATATGGAAGCCAATGCATAGATTTCTCCAGATTCTGTGTCTTTTTACCTTATAATCTACGTCTTTACTACATTAACAAAATAAATCTTAGACTTGAGCTGTGTAACAAATCTTTTAGCATAACTATATGCTGGGTCCCATGAGTCCTAGTGGGTTTCTGAAGATAGGAGTGGTCTTGGGGACCTCTGAGACAACATCCCTGGGCCCGGGGCATGCTTCATGGTGTCCATCCATTCCCAGCCAGACCTAATCTCTCCAATTCTGATTTCTCTGTGTTATGATACTTTTCTGCTTCTTACAAGCAAGTGGATAATATTTTTCTTTTTGGCTTTGGGAATGAAGTCAACACTACAACATGTAAGTGAAACAACAGGAGCTTCTCTGCCTTTTGTCCACTTGTCAGTGAGAGCAGGGCCCGACAATGCTCAGGAGCTCTTGGAGCTTTGGCGGAACGCAGAATTCGTGTCCCTGCTGTGTCACATGACTTCTGGCTAATAAAACATGGCTGAATGTCTGTTTTCCCTGTTGTTCAATTTTTTTTTTTTTTGATAGCATGAAACTTGGCACAGAGAACTAATGCTCTATAGCAAGACTCATCCAAACATTCTTACCCATGGAGTAGTCACCAACCAGGTACTCCTTCACCTCAGACTTGTTCCCGCTGTGCACTGTTTCCAGGGCACTGAACAGGGGCCTCCATCCAGACTGGATCTGTGTGGAACACACTTCCACCAGCTCGCCGATGGATGTCACAACCTGGCAGAGGCAAAGGAGGTGGCATTTAGAATCCTCTCCTTACAAGAGCAGAATTTCTGGGAAGGGTGATATACTTCTCTGCCCCCCTATTTGGGGGTTAATTTTAGTGAAAAAAGAAAAACCAGAACCCAGACAAACTCACTGAAAAATCTTCTAAATAATCAGCCATATTGTATTAATTTGCATTTCACTAATGACTAATGTTGCTGAGCAACTTTTCACATGATTAGCCATCTGTAAATACTGTGCTGTTTTTGTAAATTAGGCTCCTGTTTTCTCATTATTGTCCTTTTATTACTGTTTTTAGAGTTCTTTATGTATTCCTGAGATACAATTTGCAAATATTTTTTCACAGCCTTAGGCTTATCTTTTTATTTTTATTTAATGGTGTCTTTTGAAGAGTAAAAGTCTTTAATTCTGATGAAGTATAATTCATCAATTTTTCTTGTAATGGATAATATTTTTGGTGTCATTTCTAAGAAATCTTTGCTTAATCCAAGGTCTCAAAGATTGTCTTCTACGCTTTCTTCTAAAAACATTTATTGTTTTCACTCTCACATTTCAGTCATGACCCATTTGGAGTTATTTTTTGTACACGGTAAGAGATAAGGGCATAAGTTTACTTTTATCACATATATTCAAGCACCATTTGCTGAAAATACAATCCTCTCCCACCATTGAACTGTAATGGCGTCTTTGTCAAAAGTTGATTGACTATCATAAACATGAGAATGTATTTCTGCACACTTCAGTTCCATTGATCTATGGGTCTGTCCTTACACCAATACCATACTGTGTCAATTAATGAAGTTTTGAAATCAGGTAGTATAAATTCTCCAAATTTGTTCTTTTTCAAATTTGTTTTCTCTATTCCAGATGCTTTGCACATTCATATAAATTTGAGAATCACCTTGACAATGTCTTCAAAAAAGTCTGCTGGGATAGGAATTGCACTAAATCTGTACATTGATCTAGGGAATTTGCTGTTTTAAAAATATTGAGTCTTTAAATCCATGAATGTGGCATAACTTATGTTTATTTGAATCTTCTTTAATTTCCCTCAGCAATGTTTTGCAGTTTTTATGTATAGGTCTTGAACTTCTTTTGCTAAATTTATTCCTAAATGTTTTATTATTTTTAATGCTCTTGTGAATGGAATTGTTCCAATTTTATTTTTAGATAATTTATCCTATATAGGAAATCAATTGATTTTAGTATATAGATCTTGTATTCAGTGACCTTGCTACCTATTAATTTTAGAAATTTTTTGGTAAATCCCATAGAATTTTCTATACACAACCTCACATTGTCTGTGAACTAAAATAGTTTTACTTTTCTTTTCAGCTCTGGATGTCTTTAATTTCTTTAGACAATGAGTCAAAGTTAATTTTGAATGGAAATGGTGAAGGTGGAAAACCTGGCCTTATTTCTGATAATAGGGGAAAAGCTTTCAGTCTTTCATCATTAAGTGTGATGTCAGATGTATTGTCAAAAACGGGTGATAGATTTCTTTCAAATGTTTTTTCTATAACTATTAAGATGATCATGTGGTTTTAATCCTTTATTCTACTAATATGATATATTACATTAATTGATTTTGAGCTGTTAAACCAACCTTATTATCCTGGGATAAACTCCCTATGTCACAGTGTTTAATCTTCTTTATATGTTGTTGGATTTAGTTTGCTAATAATCTTTAAAGGAATTTTTTGTCTAATTTCATGAAGAATATCAGTCTGTAGTTTTCTTTCTTGTAGCTTTGGTATCAGAGTAATACAGGCCTCATAAAATGAAGTTCAGAAGTGTTCCTTCCTCCTTAATTTTCTGATAGAGTTTGTGTAGGGTTGCTATTATTTCATCCTTAGTTTATAGATTCATCATTGAAATCAGCAGGACTTGGGTATTTTGTGGGAAGATTTTTTTTTTTAATCTATGGACCTTTGATTTATTCAATTTGTTAAACAAGAGCTGACGAAATTATTGCCTCCAAAGTAACAGTCATGGAAACATGTTACCTATTTTAAAGACCAATACCATTAGTTAGTTACAAAACTTAACTGTAAGGATCTTGGTCAAATCAATTCACATTGACAGCTTTGAAGTGTTCAGATGCTAGTTTTTAAATAAAGGTGAAAAATAACAATCAGACTCTCATAATTGTTTTCCATAACTTCTCAGGATCTACACAAACTTGATTGTGGAAACAGTTTAATGCACAAGGATAAGAGAATGACGGTGTAGTCACCAATAATTAAACCAAAGGTGTAATTTTCCAAATCACTTTTAGTAAGACATTTTAAAAGTCTACAGCTACATAAAACTCAAAGCAATCTGTTTTTCTACCTGAGATCAAAGTAAGTTTCCTTTTTCCTGTCTGAATATGACTCTTGGCATTAAGGCAAATCTGAATTCATGTGATATATTTTGTCAAACTTTTCCAAAAAGTTTTAAGCTCTACTTTAGAAATTCTCATGTTACATGCATGTTTACATATTTTTCTTCAAAGACTAATGAAAAATTTATGAGAGTGATAGGCCTGTCACATAACTATCACCACGATCTAATTTTAAAACATTTTCATTAACCCCCTCAAAACGCTCAGTACCCATCAGCAGTCATGCCCTACTCCACCACCCCACCCTCAGCCCTAGGTAACCAATAACATACTTTTTGTCTCCATAGGTTTGCTTATTCTGGACATTTCATATAAATGCAATTATATAACTTATGGTCTTTTGTGACTGGCTTTTTTCACTTACTGTAATGTTTTCAAAGTTCATCCATGTTGTAGCCCATATCAGCACTTCATTTGTTTGTTGCTGAATAATATTTCACTGTGTGGCTATATCACACTTAATATATCTATCCATTTATCTGTTGTTAGAATTTGGGTTGTTTCAATTTTTGGGGTATTACGAATAATGTGACTATGAACATCTGTCTGTAAGATTTGTATGGCTATGTTTTCATTTCTTTTGGGTATGTACCTTTTGAGGAACTGCCAGACTGTTTTGCAAAGCAACTACACATTTTACCTTCCCACCAGCAGTGTTTGAGAGTTTTGATTTCTTCATATCCTTACCAAACTTGCTATTTTCTCTCTTTTTTATTTAGTTATCCTAGTA